CCAAGATCCCGAGAGGAGAATGGAGGATAAGGGATTGCAGCGTGACCATCCCCCCTGGGGGATGATTTCTCGCTTTCTGTCTATGTCTCTCTCTGTCTGTCTGGCGATCGCACTCGCCCTATAGCGAAAACCTCTCCCAAAATAAATAAATAAATAAATAAATAAATAAATAAATAAATAAAGCTGCTGGGTCCCATATGACAAGTCATGTTTTGAGTCCTGGACCCAGCTGCCTGAAAAATGTGTATATGGGTGTCCTTGGCTTACCTCACAGCCATCCTCCTTAGGGGGAGATTTCTGCACTGAGCACATGTACCTTATAGCAAATAAGTCTTCAATTTATAGATATGAATCAGATATTAAATGACTTCTTTTAGGTCATTTAATTTAACTTAATTTTGGGAAGAATCAGAGACACAGAGCCAGAAAGTGCTGTCTCAATCAAATACTTTTTATTTGGAGAGATTTTTGCTATAGGGCGCATGCATTTGCCAGAAAGACACAGAAAGTGAAATCACACCCAATCAAGTACTTTTTATTTGGAGAGATTTTTGCTATAGGGTGCATGCATTCGCCAGAAAGACACAGAAAGTGAAATCACACCTCAGAGGGGATGGTCATACCGCAATCCCTTCTCCATTCTCCTCTCGGGATCTTGGGCATACACGCACACACACACACCTGGTGTGAGTTCAAGCCACCCCAGGTCCAGGACTTGAACCACAGTCAACCACATGGGAGTCCAGCAACATAGCCATTATGCCAACTGCTGGTCCCAATCAAGTATTTTTTAAAAAACTGAAATTTTAACTATGTAGTTGTTGCAAATCAGAAATAATGCTTGTGAAGATAGAACCTCATTTAAGTATTGGAAATTGATTTAAATTAACATGTGCCAGGGAATGGATGACTTCACTTTGTTGTGAAGGTTCAGATGTGCTTCAATGTGGAGGTGGAATGTTCAATTTAGGTTTGACAGTTCTAAACCTATCCTGTACTGGTATATAAGAGTAGAGTGTTGAGTCAAATGATAGTCAAGTATTGGAAACAGGTTTGTCTTAACAATTTGAAATATGGATAACATTTGATTATTTTTTAAATTTCTTTTATTTAACTATTTATTTACTTATTTTAATTTGACCTGAGAGGGAAAGTGAGGAAGCAAGCTGCCAGGTCCAGGACTCAAACAGGTTGGTCATGTGGGAGTCCCGTGTGCTTACCCACCATGTCACCTGCTAGCCCCAACATTTGATTAAGTTTTATCTTAATTCATGGTAGCACATGTGCAATAGAGAGAAGCACCCTCAATAGGGTCTCATCAAACCACACTCCACCTCCCATCTTCCAGATTATCAGGATCTTAAGGCCGTTTTTTTGTTTGTTTGTTTGTTTGTTTGTTTTTGTATCGTAACAATTTTTATTAGCATTGGAGAAAAATGAAAATGCCATTAGCCTAAAAAGTTGTGTTATCTGCAAATATCCTTATTTAGGAGTGAAAGAATGCTTGGGTCATAGCAAAATGTATGCATGGAGGCTTGCAAGTGGCGTGGTGGTTAAGGGCCCTGGACTCCCACGTGGCTGGCCAGTTCGAGTCCTGGACCTGGCAGCTTGCTTTCCCTCTCTCTCTCACTCTCTCTCTCGGGTCAAACTAAAATAAATAAATTTAAATAAAATAATTCTTAAAAAGTATGCATGTTTCTCCTTTGAAGATCTTGTATACTAAAAGAGGTAACTGTACAAAATGTCCTGTTTTCTGTACAGAACAAATTCTTTGTTTTAGCCAACACTTAGTGGAGGGTCAACTAGTACAACACCAACTCCATTTGGTTTTATATATGTCTTCATATGTTTTTTTCAATCTCTACAGTAGTCAGGGTTTCTTCCACACCTCCCAACATCATATTTAAATGTCGATCACAAGCATGGGATCTGTCTTGAAGCTATTAGTCATTTTTCATTTTCACATAAATTCACTCATCCAGGCTAAGCCTGATGAGATCCAGGGACTCCTTTGGTGTTGGTAGTTCGTTGCTGGTCCATGTCTGCCATATTTCAAACCCTGCGCCCTTTCTTGGATATGTTTTCAAGCCAGTCCTAGGAGCCAAGCCTGCAGTTCAGTTTGCTACTGACTATGCCACCAGGTTGGACCTGATAATGATTCATTTTTCCTAGAGAATATGAGAAAGAGGGAAAGGGAGAAAACATACCTGATGGGGTTCACCATACCCAAGCCTCTCTCCATCCTTTGGAGATCCTAGGTGCATACTCGCATGTACTTGACGTGTATTTTAAGCTACTGGATTTGAGATTCAAAACACATGGTTGGCCATGAAGGATCTGGGTCCCTTAATCACTAGGCCATGGGCTGGCCCTATTTTAACAGTTGCAGTTTTCACAAAAATACAGCTTGCCAGTCTCTACAGGTCTCATTTGTTAGTTACAGACCAAGCAATTAAATGTTTTGTCTTAGTTTTTTCATAGCAGAACCAGACAGTGCTGTCTCTTAACTTTTTTTTCTTTTTTAAAGACAGGGTCTCACTGGCCATGTTGCCTAGACAGGCCTCAAATTTCCCAGCCTTCCTGCCTCTCAGCCTCCTGAGAAGCTGGTTTACAGGTGCCTCCCACCATGCCAGGCTTCAATCTGATTGTATGTGGTGACTACATTGACTAGGAAGCTTTAGAAGGTAATTTAATCAGATATAGATTGTTGAATAAAATCTAAGCGATGTCTTAACAGACTTATGTAAAATCTTGGGAAAAATTTTGATATTGTTGGTATCATAAGGACCAGCAGAGGGCAGCATGCTTTTTGTTTTTGTTTCTGTTTTTTTGTTTTTTGTTTTCTCTATCAGAAAATCAAAGAGATGAGACTCTGGAAATGCAAAAATACTGCACATGAAAAATTAAGTTTTATGGCTATGGGAAGATAAAGGTATAACAACTAGTGAAGAGTAATCAAAAATAATTCACTATCGTTGATATGCTAAGATTATTGAGTACCAAAGAGTTTGATCAAAATGTTAAGTGTTGACAAAAATTATTAATAACAAAACTAGTAGTTTGGTTAAAAGAATAAGGTGTGGAGCCAGCAGTAACATGGTGGTTGAAGCTCTGAACTTCCACATGGCTGACCATTGTTCAAGTACTAGACCTGGCAGCCCCAATATCACAACAAATAAATAAATAGATAGATAGATAAATAAATAAATAAAGTAAAAGGTGGTCGAAGCCAGCAGGTGGTATGGTGGTTAAGGTGCTGGATTCCCACAG